CTCAACCTTTCTAGGGCCGGACCACTTGGTAACATTTGCCAAGTTGTGGTGACCCCCAACGGTAAAATTGAGGAATGACGTGGCTGCTGCAGCGACGTGTGGCGGGAGAACTGACACTGCTGCACTAGGAGAGGGCTGAGGAGGACTTTCACCTAGCACAGCGACCCACAGGTTGAGAACCACTGGTGTACGCCGTCAGAATAACAAAAAAAAACAAAAAACACTATAGGAATGCACAGCTAGATCCCTATTGGCTATTTCACTTTGCAATAGCCAATAGCAAACTAGCTATTGCACCCGCCCTCTGCTGCTGTCAATCACTAGAAGAGGTCCTGATGGAGAACTGCAGGTCCCCCTCTGCTGATTGGCAGCAGCAGAGGGCAGGTGCAATAGCTAGTTTGCTATTGGCTATTGCAAAGTGAAATAGCCAATAGGAATCTAGCTATGCATTCCTGCGTTGTTTTTTTTTTTTTTTTTCTGACTTACGGCGGCTCCCGATGTCAGAAAATGAAGAAAAAAAAACCATCGCAGGGAAAGGTTTACTCTGATCGAGCCGAGTAAACCTTTCCGGAAGAAAGAGTGTTTCTCTCCCGGGCAGGCATGAGCTGCTATCTAATAGCGGGAGGCTCATGGGCAACCCCTGGCAAATCGTAATTCGACCCCCGACGAGGGTCGCGACCCACAGGTTGAGAACCGCTGACCTAGACAAAAATTAGCAAATATGTACACATGTTCCACCCCATCCAATTCTTCAGTGGTCGGGCCTCCCCGGGGCATTCGGCTTCCTTTCTGCAGGCATTCCTCCATCACCCGATCGAGGGAGCCGGCAGTGAGCTGCCTGCTCTGATCGGGGATTCTGACAGGTGCAAACAGCGGCGATTCCTCGATCGGCACGCTGTTTGTGTTGATGGAGGAATTGCGACAATTTTTTTTCGTTCAGCCCATGGGTTGAACCCAAAAAAGTGATAGGTGTATCAGCAGCTTTACAGTGCTTACTTGTAGTTGTTTTGCTTGTCTTTGGTTACTGCTTTTTTTTTTTTTTTTGTGTGTGTGTGTTTTGCTTTTTTTGAGTTCTATATGTTTGTGCATTGATGGGCTTTTTAGTGACGAGCTTAGTTTAAGGTTTTAAAAGTTGAAGAAGTCCATGAGAAGGTTCCCTGTCTGCATACGATGTGTTTCACGCAGGGAGGGCTGTGTGTGTGTCTCTGGCACGCCCCAGGCAGGCTGTTTACCAGAAAGGGACAAAGACCCCTCTCATTCACTAGTAACCAAGTCAGCACAACTCCATAGAAGATCTCCAGATCCAGAAATTCAAGTTATCGTTTTATTAAAATACCACAAGCTGGTCAAAGAAGACCTTTGAAAATGTATACGTACTGGGGTTCTGGGTGCGCAAATCAGGAGCCAGTTAAACAGCTCCAGGAGTCAGCAGACCCAATTAAAAAGCAGGTTACTGATTGATTTCAAAGCAGCAGATGAAGTCTTGCAGAATACAAGCAAACGCTCTTTTACTTGCCATTAGACAGCATCTAGCACAGGACCCATATGTGACATCACAAAAAATGGTTTGACGCTACG